CAATAACAAGTAAGCATATCAACTGCCATTCTATTGCTCTGATCTTTCTTTCCACAATGAATCATTGTTTGGTTATCATTTACGTATTGAGTCTGTTCAACAATATGTTTTTTTTTGTCTGTGTGAGGCAGTCGATTTGAATAAATTTTCGAATATACCAAATTTATCAAGTTCGGATAACCCTGAATACTGTACATCTAACATTGTTCAAAACTGTTTTTTGACGTATTTTCTATGTATGCAACTGACATAGTTTGTTATGACGTATCGATAGAGGGGCGTCTCTAAATGCATAAATGCTTTCAGCATTTAAGGGTTCACTTTAACCGAGATTAAGATAGACTACAGACAACGTAGTACAATAATGAAGCTCAGTACGTGCAACACAACCTACGGTCAAGAAAAGAACGACAATACGGCAATTATGGTTAGCTAGTATTCTCAGAGTACGCCCTTCTTACACTGTGTCCCTAAAATCTTAAAACATACGCTCATTAACATTCATTCATTCCATTCAATGTCCGCTCTCCCCAGTTCACTTTGCGTTCACGTAGTTACCTACAATCTTAACAAACAACTCTTGTGCGAAAGTCTCGAAAGTCTACTCGTTCCGTCTCCAGAAGCTTCAAGTCGGACACCAGACATAGTTGCCATAGGATTTCAGGAGCTAGCTCCATATCCGCAAGCGTTTCTCGGTGAATCCACTCACATACTCAATCACTACACGCACATTATATCTCGCACACTCAAGTCAGCCACCAATGAATCATTCACCCAAATCGTTAGAACATCTCTGATCGGCGTAGCGTTATTCATTTTCGCAAGAGATTCGACATGCACACCATTTGTAAAGATTACCGAAGTAAATACTGTCGGATTAGGATGGTTATGGATGGGTGATAAAGCAGCGGTCGGAGCAAGGGTACTCATTGCAGAGGACGGGGATGGGGAGGTGGGAGCAGTGTCAATGTGCTTTGTAACCGCTCATTTGGCGGCGCATAATCGTAATTTTCAATTGAGGAACAAGCAATTCAAAGAGGTGTGCAATAGGTTGGTGTTCTCGTCAACTAAATACGATGATACGTCTATGGAGACGTTTCATGTGAGGGATAGCTCGTACTTGTCCACTTCATCTTCGGTATTTTCAGACGACAGGAGAGAAAATTTGAGGAAATTGACTATATATGATAACGATTACACTTTCTTTTTTGGTGATCTTAACTATCGGATTTTATTATCTCATCCGACTCTTCCAACGATATCTGTTCCTGATATCTTGACGATGATGCGAAATAATCATATGGATCAATTACGTGAATATGATCAATTGGCGATTGCGCACGGAGAAGAGAAGACACTGAATAATTTCACCGAGTCGCCGATTTTATTCCCTCCCACATACAAACTGTATCGAGAAACCAATGACTATAATGTCCTATCGCGCATTCCCGGATGGTGTGATCGTATATTCAGTCTCCAGAATTGTTCTTCAACGACAGACGACAAGTGTCTGGTAGTTGAATGTTATTCCTCGCATGCAGAATATTCATCCTCCGATCATAAACCAGTCTCTGCGACGGTCAAGGTTTCTACCTCATCGGTTTCCCACGAGCGAATCTACGACTGGGATGAAACTGATTCGTACTGGCGGATTAAACAAAAGATAGGCATGTTTGCCGATCGAATAGTGGGAATAGTGTGGTGGTCATTCGGTACTGGACCCGGTTTTGGCATTACATTGTTAATAAGCACAATTACGGGTTATTGGTTGGCATATAAAAGATGAAATGGGTAATGAGGAGAGGTTATTT